AAAAATAAACACATCATGGTAAAATTAATACCTTCTCAGCTTCGCATCGAAGCTAAAATAAACACATCATGGTAAAATTAATACCTTCTCAGCTTCGCATCGAAGCTAAAATGTTTATCTATATATGTTTTAATAATAATACTAATTTAAATTGTAATCATAAAAATTGTAATAATAAAACTGAATTCATGTATAAAATACATGTTACTACAATTGAGGCCCGCAAGATTATTAAAAAATAATATGAGGCCCGCTGCAAAAAAAGGTTGAAGACCCCTGTGTTAGACAATAGTATAAAATAAATAAAATGTAACCTAAGATTATACTAAAAATATGCAACTGTTATTATAACTATAGCATGAGAGCCAGAAAAAACACCTAATTTAAAGTTATATACCACTAATGAGTGGTATATAAAAATTGTACTACACATAGGGAATCCCTTACTGAAAGTTAAAATAAATCAGAGAGATCGGAACCTTCATCAATTGTACGTCGCTTTTTAAGTGTTGAGCCCAAATGCCCGTCAACAGTATTTTAAGGATTGTTATAATACATACACCACTCATTATTCAGTAGTCTATATGTTATTGTCTATTAGTCATCAAATTAAATATACATTATTCATGTTAATACTTTAAACTGTTCCAAGAAATACGTCTAAAAATACATTGATATTAATCTATTGTAATAATTATAAGAAATTCTTTAGTTGTGACAAATTATCTATTTTAAGTAAAATAATATGTAATAAATAACACAAATTGAGTAATAAACAGATAATAGTAAAAGGTCGTGACACTTCTTGCATAAATAGATTAATTAAATTTAATATAAAAGGGCATAAAAACTGTCAATCTCTCTCGCTACTACTTTACCTTATGAACTTTCAATGGATGCAAGAAGTGACTTGACAAAATACGATTTTACATAAAAAATTGAAGTATATTCATTTTTTCAACATTAGTCCTGATATCATTAAGGTAAATTCATATTCCACAAAAGATCCATAAGGTTTAAAGTTAAATATAATGAGTACATAAATTAAGTAGGAAACCAGAAAAAATAAAGTGATCTCTAGAATAAAATATTGTCTAAATAAATAAAGAGAATCAATAACGTTTGTACGAAGTTAGCCAGCCTAGTCTAATCTTTGAGTGGGTTACCTGTGTAGTCAATACTAATAAAGACTCTCTTGCGAAGATAGAGAACCCACTTGTGGTTCCTATACTACTCGAGGTTTTTATTGACTCGATTCACAGTCAGCACAAGCCTAAATAACTACTGGTATGAGTGGCGTTGTTGATGATCTATGTGTGATAATTAATCACAATAATTCTATTTCAAATTATTATTATATTAATAAATTCTCAAACATCACTTTGCTTTTCTACATTTTACATCTTCTCATAAATCCTCGTACTCATATCCCGAGAGAAAATTATATTATATCATATTTTTTATTCAATAAATATTATAGTAACTCAATTATTCTCATGCTCATACAATACCAACAAATAAAGAATAATTTTAATAAATTTATTCTTAAATATTATTAATAAATCTTTTAATAAAATTTCTTTTTTTTGAGTTACTATATAGGAGCCAATGGGGAATAGCTGGCATGGCTATAATTACCTTAGATACTGAGGTTTCCTATTTAACTTATATTCCCTTTGAGGAACTACCAAGAGTCGCATTACAGTAAAATTCTTGGTTAACAACGATATAAATATTTATCAAGTAATTAATATTAAATAAGTAATATAACCTACTGGACACCTACAGATGATAATAATCCAACAGGGAGTTGACGGCGACACAGACTATTTGGGTGGTAGTTAATTTAAGTTTATGTTAAAGACTATAGAAGTAATAGTCGTGATGATGATATAAGGTCAACTGGCTTTTGGACGTTAGTATTATGGCACAGTGACTGTGAATTCCAAAAGTGTTTATGTGTGCAGTCTGTCCTCCCGTAGAAATACGTGTCACTGTATCAATGTCATAAGCCTAGTCGGCAGTAAAATGATGTAATGGGATATGATCACATATATGTGATCGTATCACAATATCAACAACTTTTCTTAATTTTTAAAGATAATAGAAAACTTGTCATTTTTTATTAAGCTCTTCTTAAGTAGCTTCTGATTTTCATTAATGCGTGCTAATTATACATTTAAATATACAAAAATAATTTAAATAATATATAACTCACGTTCTATATGATTTTTGGATTCCGAAATGACTATTTTTACTTAAAAGTTTTTTTACTGTATCATTTTCAAAAACTGTATCATTCAAATTTATAACGTCTCCATCTAATAAATCATCTATAAAAGATTCCTTCTGCCACATTTTATTCATGACACCTTTCCTTTCTTCTTCAATTTGATGTTTCATTTTTTTATCGTTTTTGACGGTTAGTTCATGCAATTTACTTTCAAGCATACATATTTAATAGTTAATACTAAATTAGGTTTTTAAAAATAACAATAGTAATTAACAATTTATTATTAAGAGAGAGGGTGTGACCAAGTATCGAACCCGAGACATTGTGTATTATGTCTCGGGTTCGATACTTGGTCACGGGCGACTCCGTTTGCTGAACGAGTCATCAGTTTAGTGAACGGAGTTGTCATTTCTCTTACTGGTGGTGGATTAACTACCTATCTCGGAGTATACAGGGTTAAGAAACTTCCTCTTAGAGGAGGTTGCATCGACCTCAATGGACCATATAAAGCGTTTAAAAAAATATATTAACATATTTTATAAACAATTTACAGGCGTCTCAGATCTAACTGTCACCTTTATGATTTTTGATTCAATTATTCATCCAGTTACTAAAATCACTACAATAAAAGACACTTCGATGCAAATCTATATATAATATTTAATTTTTAAAAGAAATAACTGGATTACTCCAAAAGCAACATCAACTCCTATACTTTAATTATATCATAATTACATTACTTAAGATATATAAGTATAATATGTGAATAAATACTTATTATATTTAATGAGTATTATTACAATATTTATTTACTTTTTATATTAATGTAATTTAGTATGCCATTTATATTCAATAATTTAATACTGTAATGATTACGGAGAAATTATATATATGTAAAAAAGATGTCAGATTATTGTGACCATGGATAATTATAATTTTAGTTATAAAATTGAAATTGTAATTTATCATAAGTCATTACTAGCTAGAACATTTTTTTTATATAGAGCAGCCACCTTACTTTTATTATACATATTAAGTGGACAAAAGTTGCATAAATTCAACACTGAAAATATTTATAATTAATACATAAATCTTATATATTATTATTATTTTTTGTCTTTGTAAGAAGAGTGTTTGTACTTAACTATCACTATTCTTTCTAAAGTATAGGTATCAATAATTAAAGTAGAAAATTATGACAACATAAAAAACAGTAATTTTTATACAAAAAAAAAAATTAACATTTTTTGATTAATTTTTGTTTAGTATGTAATATAAGCTTTAATTGAAGATATGTTGGAAGAATGCAATATTTCTGGAAAATTTTCAAAAGTTAAGTTGAAAAAGTTTTTACTAGTATTTTTCAAGTTTTGCACTCTTTTTTAATTTATAAAAGTAAATTGTCCGATCTAAAAAAATTATCGGGTAAAAGAGATATGTATAAAATATTTATAAAAAAATTTATAGCAATTTAAAGTTATATATACAAAATTTGAAATCGAGATTTTTAATATAAAAATAACATGGTTTTTTAACTACAGCAGCCGATTGTACATAAAAGACATGAACATTTGAACAGCTAGAACGTTTGCAAGACAAATGTTTTAAGTGTTATCATATAAATTTCGCAAAATTCCGTTCAGTTTTCAAAAAGATATTTTAATAGAAAGTAGAAAACTAAAAATATCAACATTGACTGTTTTATGACAACTATTTTAGAAAATTTCTTTTTATTACTAAGACTGAGGGGAATATTTCAGAAATTTTATTGAAATATCCACAAGAAAAAAAAAATTGTGTTTATTAATGTCCTTAAAAATACTTTTTTGACTCTTATCGTCTAATATGCATTGTTATACGTTTATATGTATAACTTTTATTTAGACTAACCTGAGATCCTTATAAGCTTTCAGTCTTTCATTGGCAAGAACCATTTTTTTGTTATAAACGCGTAAGGACTGAATCATGCAAATTGTAATCTGTCGATCAGCACCAGTTGGTTCAAACCGAATAGGATTACCTTCAACTACTATTGATACTAGATTTTTAAACTGATTGAGGTATAATATCTAAACAATTTAAAACAAATATACTATTAAAATCCAAAACAACAATTATTTAGGATTTGCGTTTATTTAAAACAATTATTACTATCATAGGCCATAAAAAAGAAATGAAAAAAAATATGTACATTAAATGGAATTTTATATTAAGATAAATTTTATGACACAATTATGGATGAACGAAGGAAATCAATATAGTAAAAATCTTTTTACTTTTCTAATATTTTTAAATTTTATATATATATATATATATATATATAATATAATAATATAATATAATCGTAAAATAATATAGATCATCTTATTTATAATCATAGACTTATTAACAATTGGACTGTTCTTCGAATGAAATTAGTGTTCTCAACATAAAATACATTTATAAGTAAAAGTTTTTCCTATTAGAGAGAGAAAAAGCTATTTATACTTTAATATAAATCCTAATTTTTTTCCGTAAACGGTAGTTTATGTTGGGAATAAAATTTTATAGGCACAGTGATTAAGTATAGTTAGTCCACTTGTTAATATATCTATGAATTTAATAGTCATCTCAAAATACTAATTTCGTCCACTTTTAAAAATTCAACTTACATATTTTAAGTTAGAAATATTGCAGTAAGAAATGTCAAGCATTTCCATAGATTTTTTTTGAGCGTCCAAATTTTCAATACATGATATTGGATTGTGGTTTAACACTAAATTTTGTAGTTTTGTTAAAGTCTTGAAAAATAATTAAAATTCTAGATTACAATTAATGTTTTTTTAAATATTTTTAATTATATACTTTTATTTTATTAATGAGTACTTTTAGTAACAAAAATATTTTCCTAAACATTGATACTTGTACTGATATAGTTTGGAAAAAATAATTTGCCTGTTGAATTGCCACGTTTTACAGAATTTTAAATATGGTTTAATCACTCGTTTAAAAATTATTCTAATGATGTTGATCATATATAGAGGTCTATAAGACAATGGCAATTCTTGAGGCAAACACGACGATGTTCGAATATTTACTTGAATCACTATAAATATAAATTATCCTTTCTTTTTCAAAATTATGATGTAATAAGCAAATAAGTTTCAAATAAACAAAATAGATTGATTAAAAAAAAAGTTATTAAAAATTAGTCACGTACATTTTATTTATGAATTTTATTAGTTTCAAATACGTTTAAACTGATATCATTAATATTTCATTAAATTACCTGAAGATTTTCTATACGACATATGTAATTATGTGATAAATCTAGTTCAATTAAATTTTTTAACGATTCAAGATTACAAATTTTATCGATTCGATTCACTTGAAGTTTGAGTGATGTGAGATTAGACGTAGAAAAATTAGATAGATTTTCGATATGAAGTATACCTTGAAAAAAATATAAAATTAGTATTTCGAGCAATTTTTAATTTAACATATTTTTCATAAAAAAAAAAAAACAGAAATGCGCATTTAAATGTCGCTATAACTATTACAAGTATTTTACTATAATTAAAATAATTAACTCATCAATTATTTATTTAAAATTCAACTACTGAGTTTGGTGAGACATTTTATAATCCTAACAAAGAAATTATGTGAATCAATTTCGTCAACTTTTCTGAAAATTAAAGTTTTTATGTTTGAAATTTTTTAAACAAATGTATCGAAATGAAAAATATTTACTCATGCAACTAAGATCAAGCCGCTCAATATTATTGAATTCGGTAAGTATTTGAATCCAATCACGATGTTTATCTCCATTTTTTGATTTGACACATCTAGATCGTATAACATCAACATCGATTACAGTTAACTTCATTATTTTATATTAAAATATAAATATGACAATAACAAAACAATATTTACCCTAACTAATACAGGTTTTACCACAAAAATCGATGTATTTAATGACAAAATCTACCCTAGAAGTAGATTCCTGTTGTTTACGTTTTGGTTGGGTAACCTTGGTGATACCGTCATAACCTGACAATATTACTTGATGTGAATTCCTCGGTGTTTTTGTAATAGTTCTATTACAAAATTGTTGACATGTAATATACTACACGTATGTGTAATTGTCATGAACATTAGGAGAAAAATAGCAAGAATACTGGACATATTTGGACGAACTCACAGACGGCGGCACGCACGTGTGCTTTTTATTGGCCTCAACAACGCTGGTAAGAGTACATTGCTAAACCGTCTTAAAACAGAACGTGAAAAATTATCTAAAAGTGATATTGGACCTACGATTGGATTTGCAGTTGATAAATTTGCTTGTGAGTAAAAATTAACAGATAAACCAGATTTAATAGACATTTCTTATAATATCTTGAAAAAAATAAATTTTATTTCATCAAACTATTAAATTAAACTTTATTCATCCAGTTTTGCTTGTTATCGAAAATAAGCCTAGAATGTCAAAATTGTATAAAAAAATGTATGTAAATCAAAAATAATAAAATATGTTAACTAGATGTGGTTATACTTGTATTTTAGCTTTGATGAGATGCTAAGAAGGTATTAATTTTATTATGATGTGTTTATTTTTATTTTATTTTACTTTTTTATGTATCTGTTATCACTTTTTCTTAATTCTCATCAAATCGATTTCTCTCAATGATACGTCAAAAATCACAAATCATATCTAATTGCAAATAATACCCTAAAAAATGAAAAAAAATTTCCCCTTTTTTAATTAAATAGTTACTTAGACCAATTTTCTGCACAAATAAAATAAAATCATTAATTTCTAATATTTGTAAAGCATTTATTGTCAAATTAGATTTGTTATTATAATAGGTTTCAACTAAAAAGTTATATAAATTTTCTTTGTTATATAAATTTATTGACAATAATTGTGTGGTATTTAGTATTCCAAATATTTTGGTAATAAAATACCGTATAAATTATTAACAAAAAAAAAATGTTGGGTTACACCTGAATTTAATAATGAATTTTTCCAATTATAATCAATTTTTATATTACGCTTGATTGAATAGATTTTTAGTTACAACGCGGGACTAAGAAGGTCATATATTTTTTTTATGTCTGTCCATAGAAATTCTCTGATATCACTGAACTCATTTTAATGATTTATACGTCAAATGAACCCAATTTTAATTTAATTGAATTTATACGAGCTGGTTGGTTTTAACCAAATATTATAAAATATACCATAATTTTAGAAATTTAGAAAAAAAACAGTAGCAAAGTGTAGATGAGGCATAGTTGGGATAAGTATAGAATATATCTGACAGTGATTAAAATCACTATCATAAGAAACGCTACTGTGCAAATCTATAGTTAATGTTTAATTTGATGAAATTAGTTAATTAGTCCAAAAGCAAAATGGTCTCTTATTTTCTTTTTCATAACATGATTATATCAAGTTTTATGATATATTGTATAATGTATGAATAAATATTTAATAAATTTGTTCAACCTCGACAACCTTCGACGAATACCCAGTCGAAGTGTCTATAGTCAGATACACATTAGGTTTGTAATCTCTTTTTAGGCACGAGGCTGTAATGCAACCTTTGAGACCCTGTAATATGTTTATGTATAAAGTGCGAACAAATTAGAAAAATTAGCTTTTGGAACTAAAAAGATTAGAATTCAATTCGGCCTGTAACAACAACATGGTTTGCCCCTTGCATAACGACTAGCTATAGTAGCAAGGATCGCCACCACCTAGGCGAGATGTCACACCTATCAGATATGATTACCGGACCATAGGTGGAATTTAATTTTAAGTTAATTAAAAGTATAAGTCTAAGTTAATATTTCGTTATATGTATAAATTACTATAATACCTCGTGGTTTACTAAACACAATTATGACAATCAAAGTTGTTTGTGGTTGATATGTAAAACATACCGTAGTCCGTGTCTAGATTAAGGAATAGGGATAAAATACACGCGAGTAATTAAGTTACTTGCACAATAAAATAAATATTACAGTTGAAATTTATAAGAAAATTAAATTTAATTGTTATAAAAAAGAAAATTAAGTTAAACATGGACAAAAATGCGAATGCATCAAAAACCATGTCTACAAATAAAGGCAATAAAAATAAAATAAAATATTTAAACAAAAAAACAAATAATATTACAAACATCACGGACGGTATTGGAACACATCCGTTAATGTTAATCGGAAATTAATGAAAAATACCAGGAGCGGTCTGGACACTCGCTCCTTAACGTTGGCTAGAAGAAAAGGGAAACACGTGCTCTCCACACATAAACAAAATTAAGTTAATTTACGATAAAATAAAAATGAAATAAAATAATTAATAAAATATAGCTCATTACATAAATATAATATATAAAAGAAAACGATACCCGGTCTCCAAAAAGAGACCCATCCGATGGTCTGGATGCTTCGCCGAAAAGACCTGGCCGTTCGTCGTTTGCGGCTCTACTCCATCATTAAAAAAAAATGACCAAAAAGCAATAAACGTATGCACTCTAGCACGGTCAATGACAGAAGAAAGAATGGAGAAGAGCCAATACCGATCTAACGACAATTTCAAATCGATAACGGCCAATCTTTTTGGAAAGGATCAATACTGATAAACAATTCGAGTTTAATTATATTTCTCTTTTATCGCCTTATCTAGTGGTCAGCGGCAAAATAAGGAGTGGTTAACACCGCTGTGTCAGGAAAAGGTTCTTTTGCGCGATAAAATAAATTAGTAGACATAACAAAAAATCATAAACCTTCAAATTTGTGACGTTACATGCATTATTTTTCTTTAGTCAGATTATTAATTCTAAATAATTTGGTTAATGTGAATTTACTTACTTATTATAGATAGCTTGGGTAAAGATGGTCGATAGTCCAAATATTAAATACAAAACTCTTTAATCGTGTTAATTGCAAACACGAAAATTCTATAATGTTTCTATTTAATAAATAAATAAAGTCTCGACTCAAAATAGTTATATTTCAATATCGTATATAAATGTACTGACGACAACACGGGATCGTGGTTAAGAGAAATAAATTGGATAAGAGAATTCTGAATTCTACATTGAATTCAGAGCTTCAAAAAAAGTGCGGCTTGCTCGTTTGTTCTCACATGTGCAAACAAAACTAAACATTTATTATTTATCATTTTTAATTACCCCCATCTTGTGATATTGTCATATGCTCTTTGAATGATTTCCAGTTTATTGTATTAAATTTGAACATAAAATGATTATTATTTTAAGATAAGATACATTTGTGTAAAATGATCAATTTAACACATGTATTCATATATAGTCACTAGTGTACAACAGTGTATATGTTATCACAGATAAATTAATTATTTGTTTGTATACAAGTCATATAAAGTACAAATTATAAATTTTTCATTGATAAATGTAAGATACGTAATTAAAAAATTTGGGCATATTACAACAGTATATAGTAGATAGGTCTTCGAGGCAAATTTTCTTTTTTTAACTTATAGTTAAACTTATAGTTACGAATTATAGTTACGAACTTATAGTTCGTAACATAATTTTAACATATTTAAAGGATGCAGTATTCCCGGAATATTTTCAAAAGTTCAGTTGAAAAATTACTACTTTTTATACTTCTTCTTTTGCAGTATTCAATCTAATGATTGGTTTGCAGCAACTTCTATGTTTCTCTATCACTAGCCTTCCTCTTAAACTCTTGATATGAATTACATCCTTGATCTTTTATTATCTGACCTATTAATTGAAATCTTGATCTTCTTCTATGATTTTTTCTTCTAAGATTAATAATAACAACTCGTACTGTTTATACATATGTTTCAAATTTTGAACAACCTGTATAAGGGGGAACTGTCTGATAAAAAAAAAATTTTTGTTGGATGAAAAGTGTATTTAAGTTGAAAAAATTTACTTTTTTGAATACCTGTGGACAGATAAACAATGAAGTTTTAAAAAGATTCATATCAAATGATAGAAAAATACCTTAAGTGTTCATATAAAAAAATTATTATGATTTGTTCATTTTTGAAAAAGTTTGGTAGTTAAAAAAATAAAAATGTCAAAATTTAACGATTTTGAACTTAGTAATTTTTTTGGAGATTTCTCCATTTACTAGGAATGAGGGAAATTTTTTCAATTTTTAAGGGCAATGTCTTCAATTAGATACGATTTGTAATCTTTTGGCATATCTTTGAAAGAAATGGGCTCGGTGAGAACTGATAAAAAGGGGCGATAGACATAAAAAATAACACACATCAAAGGAATATTAATACCTTTTTAACTTCGTATGAAAGCTAAAAACATCAAAATTACTTTACTAGAAAAATTTAATTTTCAAAAAATATTTTCTGTACTTTAAAGCTGCCATAATATCATTAAAAAAAAAAAAATTATCCTAATAAAACTTTAATACAGTATTCTAGATTGAATATTCTTTCATCAAGTGTTTTTTTTTATAATAATCAAATGAAATACCTTAATACAAGAAGGGTATGAAAGACTACTAACGCATGTTATAATTATTCTTTTTCAATACAATTTTTAATATATTCTAGAACCACTGAGTTCTTTAAATTTACATAAACGTGAAAATTTTGAAATGTACCATTAGATAAAAAAAAAAATTCTTCTGGCAACTGTTCCATTATGAGAAATTAGCCATCTAAGTAAAAAAATTCACAATTTCTTTTAATGAAAATATTTTAATTAAACTATGTATTTTTTAATTAAATATCATCATATAATAGGAGTTGTTTCGAACTGGTTCAATATGTATAATAAATCGATATAGAAATCGATTTTATACTAAATAACGCAGAAAAATCATATAAAATGAAACATTTTTTAATCGGCATAGATCAAATAAAACGTCAAATATTCATAATTTTTAGTAATAACGAACAATCCGTGATGATTAATAATTCATGATAAAACTACATATAACAACGATTGCGTGTGTTTTTTGTCGTATTTATACACTACTTCAGTATATGTGCTTTCTTGCGAATGAAAAGTTGGTAATGGTTGCTCAAGCACAGACTATAAACAAATGAAATCGTTTAACACAGATGTTTTTGTTTTAATTCAAATTGATGGTAGATGATCTTCTTGGGATGGAAACTACTGATCGACTATTGTTATTTGAGGTCATATGACCAGCAATTTTTCTCCTAATTTAATTTCCTATACTTGGGTAATGAGAAAAATTGATCCATATAGCATTTAATTTCTCCAGCTTCATTTAGTTCAAGATGCAATAGCTTTTTCATGGTAGCATTTGCCAAAACGTCAGATACGTCGATATTGATTGTTATTAAAAATTTAATATTTTTGAAAAATAATGTTTTATATGATAAGCCATTTGTATCGATAAGTGACGTATAATAGACTTTTTTTTCGTAAGAGAACTTCCTGATTGGACGATGAACATCCATTGTGAAAATATTTTGATGTTGAAACAACTTTATTTTTTCTCTCTGGTAGCGTTTAAAATGTGGTGGTTATAATCATTAACTAAGTGGTTCGTGTTAAATATGCGAATTCCACTCGGACTAAGTATATCAACTTCAGCTTTAGGAAAAAATCGTGATTGTATGAGAGTCAGTTAATGATCATTAAGTCTATCATCATTACCAATTTTAGTCATGATAGATGCAAATTGTACATTAGCCTGTCTCATGACTTGGTTCAGCTCACAAAATTGGAGGCCTCTCCAATATAGATAAAATATAAATTGAAGGTGCTCGAACTAGTGGCCCAATTAATATGTCTAATTAAGTTTTTATAGCACATAAATGTGTGTTATGATGTTTAAAGTTTTATATTATTTGAAGCCTTATTTTTAAATATTGATATTACTTCATTAATCAATTTCATTGCATCTGATTTGACTTCTTCAATGATATCACAAGGGACATAACATATAGACATAACAGGAGCATGAGGACTTCCTCTATGTTGAAACTCAATATAGAGCAACTTTTGAAATAATGTATGACATAGTTCTAACTAAATGGGCTGTTCTTCCGTTACATGAAACTATTTCTTAAAGCGTCAACTAATTGTTAATGTAAATCGAACAAGTTACTCAATCTTCATAATAAGTGTTGGTTTTTTTAGGTAGTGTAGGTTATAAACAAGTTCTCCAGATGTAAATATACTAATATTTTTCAATTTATAAACAGTCTGAGCAAATTATTCCAACAAATTTCACTCGCACTGACAGTAAGAAATAACGTCTTTTTGCCAAATGTCTTATAATTGCGAATTTTTTTTTTCAGCAAACTTTTTTCAGCCCATCCAATACCCAGCCAAATTAGAAATTGATCTCAAAAAAATCTTGTTGGATTCTACACAGCCAATAATGTACTTTACTTTTGATTTTATTAGTGATCTTTGAATTTTTGCCAAAGTGTTCAAATTTAACAATTAATGAATCACCAACACGCAGTCGCATAAATATAATTGCCTTGCATATCAAATGCTGATGCTTAACTCCATATCAATCGGATCTGCTAAATTCACTAGAGGCTATCGTAAATGGTATCGCATCAACACCTTCAGGGAAATTACGAAATTAGCTCAGAAAATGATCTTCAGCATGTTTGTCGAGCATTAAACAATTAGGCAACTAGTTTCTTCTGATGCAATACGAAAATATAGTTCATCGTTCCAAAAGATCGTTTCTGGTTGCGTAGCAGACTTTCCTTTATAGGGATATTTTCATTCAGATCATCTTGAAAACATTCACAAATTATTTAATCTGTGTCGAAAAATAATTCGTCAATTGTTTTTTCAAACATTTGATACAACGGAGATTGAATTAAAAACTGGAGCCAAAATTTTATTTTAAGTTTCTCAACTATATCAATCAAATAGCTTGATTTGTGAGTCATTTTTTGTTTTATATGAATGTTGATACAATGGTCATCATCTAAATTTCGAGGAAGGTTTATTATTATGGTATCAATAAAGACTGGTGTATTTATAATTTATCCGTAAATGCCATATTGACCTTTTACATGTCTTAACCTCCTAATATGCATTGTCTAACTTATTTTCACTAACATAACTTCATTGCATTGAAAAATTAGTCTTTTCAAAACCAAGTATAATAATGGTAATTAGTCATTAGCCATTGAGGGGAACTTATTTTTATTTATTGAAGATCGACACGTGTTGCACTAATCAATATTTTTCCTTGGAATATTTGCTATGATAGTACTCGAGAATTTTTTATGCAGTGTAGAGGAAATTCTTAACTCGCTTATGAACTACAATCTATCACACGCAGGATAAACATGACCATATGGATAAATGGTGAGTTTTATTTCCAATGCTCTATGAGCTCGTTTAAATTGATGAAAATTATTTCTTCTTCTTTTTTCTCGCCTTAATCACAACTACTTGGGGTTGGCCACCTTTATCCTAATTTTCTACTTGATATGATCAGTCACATCAGCCATCCTCATATCGCATTCAATAAAATTCCTCCGTCTCTTTTTTTATCTTCCTCTACCTCTTCCTTCAACCTTCATTTCCATAACTATTCTTACAGCTTCCGATTCTTCTCTCCTCATAACATGTCCAACCATCTAAGTCTATTTTCTCTAATCTTATCCACGATTGATGCTAAACCTATACTCCCTCTTATATGCTCGTTCCTTAACTACTTAACTATTTAACTACTTCATATGATAGAAAATGATCCAACTAAGAAAATGACTAGTCAATAACGTCTTTTTTTGAATTAGTAGTTTATAAGTTATGAATATTTTATACTAAGGTGGAGAAGTAGTGCAGCAGAGTGATGCATAATCATAAAAATAACTAGGGATGGGCTGATATTCAATAATCCAATATTTAATTCTAATATTAACCCAATAACCAATAATTAAAAAAAAAATTACATAAAATTTTTTATATGTTCATTTCTTATCCGATCTTCTCATTCTCTGCTCTACTTTCTTGTCAACTGCCCCTCACTCTGAACCATATGAAAATTACTATATGGTATAATTAAATTATGATCATAGACACTTTCATAGTTATCAGATAACGTAGAAGCTTCGTAATACTTGTAACCTGAAGTTTCGTCAGAACTGTTTGAAACTGCGGTTTTGATTTTTTTTTTTTGGTAATCTGAAATTTTAGTGTTTGATTTCGCTCTATCGGTCAATACGTGAATTTAATTATTTAGTTAAACATAGACAATCAAAAACTTTGGAAACAGTCGATACTTTTATATTTCGTTTATTTAACTTTAGGTAAAAGATTATGGAAAAATGTATACAGAAATTATACTATTCTTATTTTATTAACAGATAACAATGTCAAGTTTGCTGTCCATGACATGTCTGGTCGAGATGCATATAGGAGTATGTGGGAAACTATGTATAATCAATGCGATGCACTGGTATTCGTCATAGATAGCACTGATCAAATGCGTTTAGCAGTAGTCAAAGATGAATTAGATATGGTACTTGGACATGTTGATGTAGTGGATAAGCCTCATATACCAATATTATTCATAGCTAGTAAAGCAGCCTCATCAGATTCTTGTAGTGTAACTACAATAGCAGCTGCATTACGTTTGCAAGAGGATATTGGACAGACACGACCGTGGCGATTAGCTAGTACTGACATATGTATTAGTCATGTAGAAGAAGACGGGTTACCTGAAGCTATGGATTGGCTATCTGAACAAATAAAATATACTGTTCATTAATACATAACATAATATTCACTTGACTTTCATATGCTCAAAACATTACATTAAATTTGTTTTTGTTATAAAAGTATTATTGTATTGTTTTATCACTAAGATGGTTATGTATATTATTACTTAGGTGATCCCAATGTCATAAATACTATATGAAATAATTATATTAGAGTAAGAATGTAGTAAATATAAATAAAGAATAATAATCAAATTTAAAAAATAGATATTATTACAATATAATCTGCATATTTAAGTTGTTCATAATTTTTATGTTATTTTTTTAGATGTATTACAATAGTTGTATTCGATAGGAAACAAATACTCTAATATGGATAAAATATTTTCTATTGTTTTTTACACTCATAAATGAACGTAGTTACATTATAAAAAATTGATTTGAAGTAAAATATCCCTTGAATGAAAGTTTAGAATGTAAAAATTAATTTTTATATTTGTAACATAAATATATTATTGATAATAATTTCATTTGTATCAATAAAATTTAAATAAAAATACAAAAAAATAAGTATTAATTGACTAAAATGTAATTAAATATAAACCAGGTTATATAAGACTCCTAATATCAGAAAAAAAAATTTAATTGAAAAAATATTCTTTTTTGGTAGTTATAGATCAATTTAAAACCATTTTTATTTAAAAAAAGCGAATGAAGAAAAATTACTTATTTTTATGATAAATTAAATATATACAGAGGCGTGGTTGAGAGAGAATGAGAAGAATAAATACTCGCAGAACAACAATATTATGTTATTTATATCTCCCCTTAGATTATGACATTAATTAGTAGCTAATTTAATTGATAATATTATATTTAAGAATCATTCTAGGTGAATAAATAGTAAAAAAACGATTTTCCATTGTTTTTATTTTTAATGATTGGATGATTTATTAAAAATATTAAAATAAAAGAAATATATCGGCCGCTTAATTTTTTATTTAAAAAAGGAATTTTTACTTATTTTAAAGTAGATTTGCCTCTTCAAATGTATTAAATATAAATTACATAAAAATATTTCATATATATTTTAGTAAAATAAATTTAATGGAACTGTTGTGACCCACCTAGAATAAGACACGGTAATATGTTGGAGTGAATTGTAGGTTATAATATGAGTTAATGTAATATTTAACTGGCATCATTATTTTATTACGTTACAAGATATTACAATTATTATTAAAAAAGTATAAATGAACAGTGCTATAACACTTATTAACCATTTTGTACTTATTTTAGGTTTTATTTAACAATTTTTTTTATATTTCCGAATATAAGCTATTGAAGCAAAATACACTCAGATCTAAATCTTAATATACAAATAAAAAATACAGGTCCAAGAATTTTGCTACCTTGGAAGTATCATAGCTTCCAATAATAAATCAACATCAGACATTAGAAGAAGAATAGCATTGACAAAACAAGCATTTCAAAATAAGAATCAGCTTTTCACCAATAAACATCTGAACATTGGAATACGTAAAAGATTTGTTAAAACATTTGTCTAGAGTGTGCTTTGGGGCCATACATAAGTTACATCACGTAATGGTAGTAGGGTATCACCGTAATGTGATAAGGAGCATGGGGGTCAAAAGCTTTGTGACGTCAAATGTTAAAATATAAAATACTAAAACACGAAATTCATATGTAAATAAAAAGTTATTGAATTTGATTTATATTTACAAATAATTAAGTACTCTCGCTATGAGATTATCTCTGACGCAGTGGCGACTCGTGGGTGCTGGTGGTGGGGGTGCGACTTTAAATATAACACCACTAATTATAAGTATAAAAAATTGTCAAATTAAATTTAATAAAATAAAACACAATACACACATTATTATTTTAAAGGTCACAGTAGAAAATAGAAATGAAAATAATAATATAAACGATTATACTATTATAGCAATCGATAACGACAAGCATACACGTAGCTAATTCTAAAAATAAATTACCCAAAATAATAATATACTAATATTTTACTGTATTGTCGTCTAAAACCCGTACATAAGATCGCAGCTGAACCGTACCCGCACGCACACGATAGTTGCGACTCGCTAATAGTATACGTCCGTTGAGTGACAGTCACAATTTTCTCCGTTAAACTATTTTAATATTTTTAATTTATTAAATAATTTTAAAATGAACAAAAAGATTGATCTAGGTAGTCTTTGCCGCAGACTTTTTATGTCTATAGTGCAACCTATGCTGATAAAAAAAAACAAATAATACAAGATGAATTTAATACCTCATGGAAAAGTTTATTTTTAAATGCATGCATAAGTTTGAAAAATGTGTGACATCACATCAGGGGATAGGGGGTTCTAAAAATGTGACAACCTGTGACAATGACGGGGGGAGAGGTTTAAAAGTTCTAAAGTTTGTGTGACGTAATTTATGGAATACCCCTTTCATATGGTAGTATTTGGAGTATCAGAACTATAACACTTGATAAATATAAATGTTGTATATATTCAAAATACCTTAATTTTTCAGTTGAAAAATTGATACGTTATTTCTCCGTGAGTCCAGCCAATCCACCTGTCGAGCCGGCTGGGTCTCATGAGGGATCTCGTCCACGTTCCCGCGGTCATTTCCTCAGCCAGTCATCGACTTCAGTTGGACAGGATAACGCTTCGGAGTTACAGCCCGTTCCTCCGCGTGAAACAGTTGATCGGTGGTTTTTCGGAGCTTGTGTCCGTTACGGTTTTGGTTCTGAGCCCTGCGGCACTTGAGTACTTGATCACCCAGTCGTTGAAATATGACCGGATAATTAGGCGGAAGTACCCGGAAAGCTTCCAATGCTCCGAGGATGTATCACCATCACACGAAGTTGAAAGCGTTCCGGTTGTCCATGCTGTTCTTAGCCCTTACGGCCAACTGCCGAATGAGGGAGGCCGTAAACCTTTTTTTTTTTTTATTATGAACCGCCCTGGAACTACCGCGAGGTATTATTTCAGGGCGGCCCACGCCGTCTCTAAAACTTACAACACCACGTTGTGAATTAGCCGGAAATTTATCAAGAGTTGATCCACAACGTGAAGTGGCCTCCCCAGTTAACCGGATCCCAGAGTGGGATCCGTTGCTCAGGTTGCAAAACGTGGAGGTGGGGGCAGGACTTTGCGAAGGGGGCTAAAATAACTCACAAAAACATAAAACATATAAACACGAATACCTAAACCAGCGCCTTAGGTCATCCTGTACCGGGCGGCGCGGCTGTCTCTGTTTCAGGCGTTCAGCTTCCTCCTTCTTTTTCAAGATGGATTCGGCGAACGCCTGGACGAGCCTCCACGGCTCCCAGCTTCCCAACATCAGGTCCACCAAGGACCCGACTCGGAGCGTAAACCCCAGACGAGACTCCAGAGAGTCCCGTTCCTGTGCCCACGCCTCGCACCGGAAGAGGGTGTGCAAAGCGCTATCAGCCTCTCCCGGGCGATCCGAACAGTGGTCGCACGTCGGCGCGGCTGCTTTACGAATACGATGTAAGTACTCGTTAAAGCAGCCGTGGCCGGACATCATTTGGGTGAGACGATAAGTCATCTCACCGTGAATCCGGTCCACCCACCTGTCCAGATGATCGGGTCCTATGAGGGACCTGGTCCACTCGCCTCTCGTCGTTTCATCCGAGAGGCGAGTCCGCCACCGGAGCATGGTCATCCGCCTGAGCGCTAGCCGGTTCTCGGGTTCGAGGGACCGGTTGCGCTCACGGCGGAGCTCATGCCCGGCGGCGCGTTCCTCGGCGAGCAGGTAGACGGGCGGCAGTGACGACAGGATACCCGCCTCCACTCCGGACACCGTTCGGTACGCCGAATCTGTACGGATCGCGCGCCCGCCTCTGCACCCTGAGCAGGGCTTCACGGTTTTTGGACGAACACTCAAGAGTATCCGCCCAACCCGTACAGGAGAACCGAGTGTACGACACTGACTAAAAGTCTGCGCCGCATCTCTCTCGGCCCTCCCAGATTGGGCATGAGTCCCGCCAGGCAATTCATGACTTTTTGGGCCCCTAGGCCGCACGAGTAATGTGTAGCACGAACTTTAGACGTTTGTCTATGACAAGGCCCAGATAAGTCCCTGCGCTGCGCTACAGTGTCGGTGTGATCGGGCTCTACGGGGCTACGAAACGTCGGCACGAGCGCAGTTTCCCTAGCTCGGGAAATCGGGCGCGTCCTCAGGTTGCGGATAGAGGAACGGCCGGCAGATATGCAGGTTAGCCACGAAATAAGCAGTCCATTAATTTGGACTGACGAATAAGCGGTCACGGACAGCGAGCCGCCCAAATGCTTGTTAATCCTGTAGATATACAGGATAGCCGTGAAATAAGCCTTTATGGACGAATAAGCGTTAGCGTTTGGGTGTGAACGGAGTTAAACGGCAACGCAACCAGTGAAGTTAGCCGCTCACTAGCCGGAGGGACTGGCTATGAGGGCAGCCCCCTCAAATCATAATTTATTTTATGAAATGGCATCGGACGGAGTAAAGGTTACTGCATCAGGGGAATCGGATGCCCCAGTGCCGGCGGTTGGTGGGGGGCGTACCCACCAGGTGTCATCATCAAACGAATACGCACTAAATACAGGAGTGTTGAGGCAGACTCCTGCAGCCAACCACGGGGTTGGTACTGCGACTGCAGGGAGTGGTGGTGACCAAGCCACTTCCACCGGTGAAATAGCCGGGAGGATATTGGCAACGGATTGCACGGATTGTATGGACTTGACGACGGCCACCTCCCTGGATGCTTCTCCAAAACCCTCCATATTGGAGAGATTGCGGAGCGCGTCTAGGGGCGGTTTGCCGAAGGTAGGATCTTCGGGTTCAACCATTGGGGGGGGTCAATGAGGTGGTGATGGCTGAGCTGGGGGAGGATGACTCCTTGCGTCCCAAATGCAAGGAGATCTCCCCAACGATCAGCCCACCCACCATCATATTGGAGGATACCCCGCTCGGCGTGATTGTGCCCATGTCAGCGACTCCTCTGCCAGTTTTGGCCAAAAGCCTAAGTTGGTACCCCTGACTGCAATTGATCTCTTCAACGCTGACGGGACACCAAAGAGGGTGATCGGTCGGGCCGACGAGGTGCTGTCGGCTGGGCTAGACCTCGCCAGGGAGCAGGCGGGCCAGTTCTCCGATGTGCTGGAGGTAAGGCCCAGATAAGTCATGGAGTCCTTAAGCGGGATCTCCACCCCCAGCACGGCGAGCCGTGGAGGAGAGAACTTACACCGCATCGTACGCGATGTTCCACAGCAGAGGTCCGAGAACTGACCCTTGCGGGACGCCTCCCGTAACAGGTCTGATTCTCGGGCCCGCGGCGCTCTCGTAAGAGATGACCCGATCGCTAAAGTACGACCCGATCATCCGCCCGAGGTAAGGAGGCACCCGAAACGCGTCCAGCGCTCCGAGGATGTGTGACCATCACACGGAGTTGAACGCGTTTCGGATGTCCAGGCTCACCGCCGCCCCGAAGCCCTGCTCAGTTTTGGACCTGAGGGCCAAGTCCCTGAAGAGGGAGGCCGCATCGTCCGTCGACCTCCCCCTCCTGAAACCATACTGGCCCTCGGCCAGTCCGCCGACGTCGGCCAGGTGGGCTTCGATCCGGGTGACGAGCAGTCGCTCGAGGATCTTCTCCAAGTCGTCCAACATGCAAAGTGGTCGGTACGACGAGGGGAGACCCTCGGGCTTGTCACCCTTCCTCAGAAGCACCAGCCTGGCCTTCTTCATGATAAAAGGGTGTAATAACCTTTTATTTCGGAGTTTCTAATGTTTATTAAATTTTGGATTTCATACGCATATTGATTAATTATTTGATTTAGCAATATCATTTTTCTAGTCAGCTCTATTTCAAATTGTAGGATTATTATTTCACGAATAGTATCGTTTAATTTCCCTTCTAAGTAATTATATTATACTTCTAAGCTGATTTTCGATTGGTCTAGATTGATAAGTGACGAATTTTTCGTTTGAAATAATTGACATAATGCAGTCAATTAATTTGTGTTTCAGTAAGATGTATTACTTGGTTTCTTAAGCGTTTAAGTCTACTGATTTCTTTATAAAAATATTCAGCATTGGTACCACATAATGTGTTGGCAGCGCACCAAACGATGTTTAGTAATCCCATCTTGGATTGCAAATGCTGTATATGGGACTGCTCTAACATTCTGAGTATATTTTCTTTGTTGTTATTTGTTTTGTCTAAGAATTCAGAAATTTTCTATTTAAATAGATGTAACTGTGTTTTGTGGAATTAGAGTTCAGTTGACTTATTTCACAAAATCTATCTACTGATTTCTATTGATCACGAATCGGAATATGGACTTCTTTGCAAGTTAGCTATGTTTATATAAGTCAACATATTTCAGTTCGAGTTAAATACATGAAGATTACTAAAGGTTTGAAAATGAAATCTTGGTTTTTGTTGAATTAGTTTTTTGAATATTGTGCGATTGTCAGTTACAAAAAATATTATTTTATCAGATGTGGATTTTTCTGATTATTTAGATTTATTTGGTTAGATATTCGAAGAAAAAGTGCTGAATAAACAAGTGTCTATGCACCACGAGAGGGATGTGATGAAATAGATAAGGAAGAGTTTTGGAGAGAGATGCATGAGGTAATGCAAGGGGTATATGGCAATAAGGATGCGGTGATAGGTGGATATATGAATGGACATGTAGGTAATGAGAGGAGAGGATATGAAAGAGTACATGGAGGATATGGTTTTAGTGGGAAGAATGAGGCTGGAGAAAGAATACTGGATTTTACAGTATCGTATGATCTTGCTGTGGTTAATACTTATTTTAGAAAGAGGGAAGAACATTACATAACATATAAGAGTGGGAGGAATAGATCACAGATCGATTATTTTATGTGAAAGAGAGAGAGCGTAAAGCGAGTAAAAGATTGTAAAGTTATACCAGGCGAGAGTATAACTACACAACATAGACAGATGGTAATGAAGTTGTGGTGTACCGGAAAGAAAATAAATAAAAATAGAAGAAACACAAGGGGAAAATCCAAGATCCGGTGGTGGAAAGGGAAAATGAAATAGAGTTTGTAAAGACGGTAAAAGAGAGGACGGTGTGGAATGTTGAGGGAGAAATAAATTTTGTGTGGAATAGATTTGCTAGTTGTGTAAAGAATACTGCAAAGGAGATTGTTTGTGAGAGTAGGAGTAGAATGACAGGAAACAAGGAAACCTGGTGGTGGGATGAGGACATTAAAAAAATATAGAAAGTAAGAAAAAGCAATTTAAAGTATGACAGAAGAGCAAAAGGTGAGAAGATTGCATGAAGTATAAACGCTTGTGCAAAGAAGCCAAGTGTGCAGTAAGTAATGCGAAGTTTAAGAGGTATGATGAGTTGTATGATAGGCTAGGAACAAAGGAAGGCGAGAAAGAAATCTATAGACTTTCAAAGATATGAGTGAAAAGGTCTAAAGATTATCATTATATAAGGTGTATAAAAAGTATTGATAATAAAGTACTCTCAAGTGATGATGATGTGAAAAAAAGGTGGAAAGAGTATTTTGAAAAATTATTGAGTAAGGAGCACCCAAAAAAGACATTAGAGGATATCTCGTAGAATGAGGGACTGATAGATTTAATTAGTGAGAAAGAGGTATGGGAGGCTGTGGCATCAATGAAAAATAATATTATTTTTATAATATCTCCGATAAAATTACAATATTAAATTATTGAATATCAATTTAGTAATTAAATTTTAATTAGTATAATTATTAATTATTCATATATTATAATCATAAATCATATAACTAATCGGGATTATATTAGGGGAATAATTTATATTGCTCTTTCATTCAACGTACTTTTTTTTTAAATAACACCATTTCCCTTTATATATTTATATATTATAAATAAATATTAGGGTAGTCCTTAAAATAAAAATTTTCAAAATTCGATTTACGCGCACCAAAAAATTGTTCTAATACATGTAAAAATAAACTATGCAAAATTTGGTCCCGATAGGTTGACGTTAACACGTGCCGCAAGAGGGTTGAAAATTCGATCAAAAGGGTAGTTTTTCAGTTATTGTGCTTTATCTCAAAATATATGATTTTTATGTAAAAGTTTATAAAAAAGAAATTATACATATAATTATTTTACACAAAAAAGATTATTAGCAAAAAACCCATAAGTCAAATATTTACCTCCTAAAAGTCAAAAGTTCCATAAATATTATGTTTACCAGTAAAATTCATATATTTCGGCAATTTAAGTATATACGATGAACCGTTCAAGTTATAAAAAAAATTTTCATGTAAAAGTTATTTGAAATTTAATTTTCAATTAGTTTTGTAGAAAAATAAAATTGTTTTACGTGTTTTCTGGCGAGGTAATAAAGAAAACTTATAAATAACAATCATTTTTCTATCATTAATCATTTTTTGTTTAGATAATGTTGTTGAGTTAAATTTGTTTAGTTCCTCAGAATATGAAACAGAAGATGATTTGTCTGGTTCATCATATTCTTCAAAAACACGAGGATTTATAACTTTTATGAATCCTAAATTACTTTCTGCATTAGATCAATGCAAGATATCTGACCGCGATGCTGTGCATTTAATTATTTCTACTGCTGAAGCATTAGGTAATAACGTATCAAAGTTAATAATCAACCGATCAACTATTCGACGGGGAAGATTATTTTTTAGTGAAAGAAAGGTAAATGATATAAAAAAAATTAAATTTCTGGATAAAAATAGTCTTGTCTTGCATTGGGATGGAAAACTACTTCCAGGCATTATAAATAGAGCTAAAGTTGATCGATTGCCAATCTTGGTATCATTTGAGGGAGTAAGTCAATTACTTGGGTTCCCAAAAATTGAGAGTGATTCTGGCGAGAATCAGGTAAATGCAATTTTTGATTTATTACAAGTTTGGGATGTAAAAAATAAAATACAGGCCTTGTGTTGTGACACAACAGCTTCTAATACAGGTCGCTTAAATGACGCTTGTATATTGCTTAAACAACTCTTAGAGCGCAATGTGTTGTATTTACCATGTCGTAGACATATTTTGGAATTAGTACTAAAAAATGTTTTCAAGGTTAAACTTAATTTATGTACAACTGGTCCAGTTGTATCAATTTTTAAAAATTTAAAGAATGTTTGATTAGTCTAGATTTGTTGAATTTTGATATTGGTATCAATGATATAATTATCAAAAATGCAGTTGTACACACTAAAAATAATGTAAAAAAATTTTAATTGGAAACATTAATAATTCAACAATGTAGAAAATACTACAAAGAATTTATGTGTTATTTTTATGGGTGCAACACCCCTTAATGGTGTAAAATTTCACTACCCTAGTGTTTTTCATCATGCTAGATGGATGTCTAAAGCAATTTATTCGTTAAAAATATACATGTTTAGAAAATAGCTTAAAATACGAGAAGAACATGCATTTCATAATATTTGTGTATTTTTGGTAAAAGTTTATGTCAAGGCTTGGTTTAAGGGATCTATTGCCATACAATCAGCATTTAATGATTTATGTTTCTTAAAAGTTTTAATTAATTATCCTGATTCTTTTATATCTAAAGCTGTAACACAGAAATTTACCGGACAGTTTACCGGCAGATATTAAACTAAAAATGGTTTAGGCATCAAGAGAGACATCACAAAAACAACATAAAAAAAATTACAATAAACCTAAATGATACTAAACTATTTAAAAAAAAAGAACTTGATAGATTTTTTGGAAACTCATCCTCATAGCTAGGTTGAAAATCCTGATTTTCAAAATGGTTTGAAAGTTTTATCTAACCTTCTTGTGACAAACAATATAGCAGAGAGAGGTGTAAAACGTATGCAAGAATACAATGAAATAGTAACTAATGATGATGAACAAAAACAGTTTCTACTACAAGTCGTTAATGATTATAGATCACAATTTGGAGATTGTTCTAAAAATTCATTGATGAATAATAACAATTAATAATGCCAAAATATATGAATTTTACTGGTAAACATAATATTTATGGAACTTTTGACTTTTAGGAGGTAAATATTTGACTNAACTACTAGAAGAATTATTTTTATTATTAGTAGGGTAATATTGGGAATTCTAGGCCCCCCCGCCTCACCCCTTCACCTACCCACCCGCCCAGTGGGTGGGCGTGGTCGGGGGAGGGGCGTGTCACACAGTGGGCGTGGTCTCTCGATGGTGGGGGTAATGTCAAGGTCATATAGTGGGCGTGGTTTCTCGATGGTGGGGGTAAGGAGAAGGCGTGGTCTTATCATTGATTGGGTAAGGAGAGGCGTGGTCTCTCGATGGTNGAGGCGTGGTCTCTCAATGGTAGGGGTAATGACCGTTGTCAAGGTCACACAGTGGGCGTGGTTTCTCGATGGTGGGGGTATGAGGAGGCGTTGTCTTATCATAGAGGAGGTGTGTTCTTATCAATGATGGGGGTAAGGGGAGGCGTGGTCTTATCATACGTGTGGGAGGGGGTGGAGTGGTCTCACCATGGTGGGGAGGTAATGACCGTGGTCAAGGTCATACAATAAACGTGGTCTTATCAATGATGGGGTAAGAGGAGGCGCGATCTTATCATAGANGGTAAAAGGAGGCGTGGTCTTATCAATGATTGGGTAAGGGGACGTGTGGTCTTATCAATGATGGTGTAAGGGGAGGCGTGGTCTTACGATGGTAGGGGTAATAGGTGACTTAGTAGGTATGTTAAGATCAATGAAAATGGCGGTTTAAAGTGCGCATGCGCACTATAACTCCGTGTCAGGGGGGGGGAGGTAGCTATATGGTTGTNCCGTGCCAAGGGGGGGGGGTAGCCATTCGGAAATGGTTGTTCTCCTCTTACGATGTCATCTACTGGAGGGTAAGGTAAACCTCATGTGAACTGATAACATTCACTGATAAGCGTACACATTACATTGAAATAGTGTAAGTCAAGTAGCGACCGCCGCCACCACACTTGACTATTCCTTGAACGATTTGAAACAAACTCTATTAAGACAATTGGGTGTGAGGTGCGCACAATGTGTGAAACCCAATGAAAACTAACCTAAGTCAGGGGAGGGGGATTTCCTCAACATGTCGTAATGAGCGACGGGGTAATGAAACTTAACTTGAAACCAACCGCCATATTATAATCCCACATTACCGTCAACATTTTACGAAAAATAATTGCTGTCTGCGTTTTATCAAAGTTATCTTTTTCTAAGAATTTTTATCATTCCCTACCAGACACTTAGGTAAGCATATTTCAAACATCAAAGGTACCGCCATATTATAACACACATTACCGTCTACATTTTATAAAAACAAAGACAACGTCTGTCGTTATGGCATTATAATTTCTAAGAATTTTATCATGGGTAACCAGACGCTTAGGTAAGCATATTTAAAATATCAAAGATTTCGCCGTACAGTAATAATCACTGTTGTATGCATTTATTTTTTACATAGTATTTTATCGTTGGTAACCAGACGCTTACGTCAGCATATTCCAGAGATCAAATGTATTACTATATTATAACGTTCATTGGCGTCAGCATTTTATGAGAACAATGACAACGTCTGTCGTTATGGCATAATAAATTCTAAGAAATTTATCATCGGTTACCAGACGCTTAGGTCAGCATATTTCAAACATCAAAGAGGTCGCCATATTATAACCCAGACTACCAGACTACCAATAAGGTCTATATATTGTTATATATTATATAATATATAACAATATATTATGATAGAATTTTATCATGGGTAACCAGACGCTTAGGTATGCATATTTCCAACAACAAGGGTATTACTATATTATAACGCTTATAGGCGCCAGCATATTATGAGAACAAAAGACAACATCTGTCGTTATGGCATAATAAATTCTAAGAATGTTATCATCGGTTACCAGACTCTTAGGTCAGCATATTTCAAATATAAAAGAGGTCACCGCACACTAATGATTATTGTCGTGTGAATCTTATCATCGGATGCCAGACGCTTAGGTCAGCATATTTCCAAANATCATCGGATGCCAGACGCTTAGGTAAGCATAATTCCAAAGATGTTACAATATATTAATGGTCACTGCCGTATGCATTTTATGAGAAAAATGGCAACGTTGTCTTTTTTCACGCCTACGCGTTTTATGAGAACAAAGACAACATCTGTCGTTATGACATTATAATTTCTATGAATGTTATCATCGTCTACCATATTTCCGTCATTGTTTGTGTTGTACCTGTTTAAACCAACCAAAACTTGTNTCGACATTATTTGTGTAGTACCTGTTTAAACCAACCAAAACTTGTCTAAAGAAGATCTTTGACCCCTATAAAAGAACGTCACATCAATTTCAGGATCATTCACTCATTATCTTTTCCAAAGCGATTATACCAAAAACCATTTGCTTGTTTATTTCTATTTGTTGTCCTAAAGAATTTCTAAGACTTTTGATATAAAATAAAGTAAGTAATACATTTATATATATTTTTCATTTAAACTATTTTCTACTGACTTTGGTTACTAGTTATGTTTAGAGTTGTTAAATATTTATTAATTTTTTATTTTAGAATGGAGCAATTAAAGAAACAGTTGAACGATCAGAGTGCATTAAAAAGATATTCAAAATTAAGTGATTTGGAGGAACACACGCCATACAAAATCATATCTATGAAAAATACAAGCACACGAAATGGGGTTGTCGTTGTTGGTTGTCTATTCAACAATATGAATGTGTTTATCCCGAGATTGAAATTAACTAATGAAGAAATCGAAGCTTACAATATCAACAATGATGACAACAAATTACATTTATTATATAGAGGCAAAAGTGGAAATGCATATTTGTTTGATTTTCAGTAATTTGTTAATATTTTTCCTTGTTTTTTAAACTTATTTATATAAAAAAATAAAAAAAACTTAGTATCATAAACTTGTAAGATTTAAAATTCAATAATATATACTATTTTTTTTATTTTATACAATTTTGTCATATTTATTTAAACTTTATGCCTTTGTGTATAATAAAAGTCTGTAGTGCTAAGCAGTGCAAAGAAGAGTTTTACACATTAAATAGCAAATTTACTATACGCTATGGTATTTGTAGCAGGTTGTACTATG